TTCTTGTTGAAAACTGTAAGTCCGATTGCTTTGATATTACATATATAGGTACTACATGTGGACCTCTCTCAGATTTGTTCGTTTTGTGATGATATCTTCAATTCTCTAATTAATTTATTTTGGTGAATATTTTTGTAATTTTTGGTAAAAAGTGATATTTTCGACTTCTTGTTAAAAACTGTAAGTCCGATTGCTTTGATACTATTCATATTGTTCATTTTCTAATGATGTCTTCACTTCTTTAATTGAAATGTGCATTGCTAACAGCGGAGCTATCTCAGCCGATAGGCTGCTTGTTTGTAATGTAGATCCAGCCCGCGATTTGATTAGTATTTCTTACTCTTGTTTGTGGCTAATCATTTCTGCTGCCGTTTCCTTCTCATGCTGCAATTGCAAAACTTCACTAACCTATTGGTAACTTACCGCAAAGCTCTATATCTCTCTGAGGAGCAGAATGTTTTGGAGAGTGGGCTCTACTTTAGCTTTACCAGGAGTTGTATATCGGAAAATATCCTGTAGAAACTCATCTAAAATAGCTGCACCATCAGGTCAGCTCTTACATTACAAGTTTTCTGAACTTACTGAAATGTTCTTGTGTCACAGACTTTATGTAGGTCTCAGGTTTAATACTACCAATTCCATGACGGCTTTGAATCCTGAGTACAGCTTAGCATGTTGTTGAAATTAATTAACTAAATCATCATTATTTATAGTAACTAATTCTACTCTTAAAGAGCTGTCCTTACTTTGAACATCTCCACAGACATTCAAAACTAACTTCATTCACTCCTATAATACATTTCACTATAGCAATGTATAACTGAACAAGTTGTCTGGTAAGCTGATTAGAGCACTCGTATGCAATGGCCAACTGAAACACTTTAAAGGCACCATATATGAGCATTCTGACAGACTTGATGTTACATAATATCACTATTGATGACCCAATTTTCATTGACATGCAATCACTAGTTCGTGACAAATGAGGGGAACACGCACACACACGCGCACAAACAAAGATATGTCGACTCCAAGGGCTCCTATTATGTACAAGAGTCAAAAAAGGAAGAGCCCCCTCCCCAAAAATGTTAGAAAAATTAAATTGATCCAAATGATTTCACTTACCTCTTGGTGAAGAACAATAATCACAGGACTAGTTTTATTAATAACCACATAAGATAAAATAAAATGATATTATAAGTTCACAGAAAATTAAACTGTTCAAGAAATGGGCGATTAACTTTAAAATTAATGTGGCAACATTTACATAAGCAAAGAATGACTGCAACTTTCTGGAATATGTGTTGACTCTGAAAATGGGGCTGTTTGGTTTGGTTGTTGACAAAGATGCCTTATCCTCAATCAAGGCCGCTAACGTATCGTAGCTGAAAATATCATCTAACAACAGTTCGCCAACTACAACAGTACCTATAAATCACAGACGTTCTCCTTCACAAAATTTTCATGAGATTGTAGTGTTTTGCTGAGGAGGAGGAGGCCACCACAATTTTGGAGCTGCGTCTGCTGTAATTCCATCATCATCGAAGTGGTTTCTCTGTATTGCCTGTCAAATAGATATCTGCAAACCGGCTATCTTAAATAATGCATAAAAGGCTGATTTACACACATTTGAAATTTGTTTTATAATATGGGATAAAGCAAAA